GCAGGGCAGCCCCTTGTACAGCGGAGGAAGCTGGGCATTTTCAGGAAGAGGAGACCTGGTCGTGTCGTGCTGGGTCGGCCCAGCTCGGCCAGTGCTGCCTCAGGCCTGGCTCAGGGTGCGCAGCGCTGGCGTCCTGCCCGCTGCCTGCTTGGGCTGCGCCTGTGGGTGGGAGGTGAGTGCCGGTGGCTCCTGAGGAGACCTCGCAGCGCTGCTTTTAGCAGCAGAGCCAGAAGTTGCAGGCTGGGCCAGAGCTGAGCTGACCAGGCCTAAGGGCCTCCTGGTTACTCAAGGCCCTGGCGCCTACAGACATGGTCACTGCACTTCTGAGCCGTGTTTGCGCTTGCTGGGCAGAGGTGGGAAGGGGAACTGGTGCTGCCCTGTCAGCCCAGTGCCCAGGGGCTGCCCTTCCCTACTGGAGGGCCAGCAGTAGACCTGTTGTGAGGGCAGGAGGCCAGCCATATGCTGCCAGGCCCTGGGCTGGATAGGGAGATACAGGGCAGAAGTCAGGATCGACATAATATCATAGTGGTAAAAGGCAGTTCTTAGTGCCTTGTCCAGGTGGAACTGCTGCAATGCTGCCATGATTACTGCTCCTCACTAGGCTCCTTAGCAGTCACTGCAGAGGAGGAAAATGAGCCAGAATGCCAGAGATAAAGGGCTGCAACTAGAAATAGCCCTTGCGAAGCAACGGATGTAATGATGCCATTTAGTAAATATGTCCAGGACTAGCAGCCGCTTTGACAGAGTACTTAATAGCCAAGTAAAGGAGCACATAGGCTGATTGCCATTCATGAGTTTTCAGGTTGAACTAGGTAAAAGATGATGCAGCAGACATGTAGCCAAACTGTACTGCTATGGCCAGTAGGTGGCAGTAGGACGTGCCAAAACCGGTAGGCCTCGCTTTGTGCTGTAGCTTGGTTTAGTCATGCTTGTATAGGTAGGCCTGCTGGGTGCCTAGCATCACTTGAAGAGACATGGCTGTTAGTGAGCTTCCAAACAGCTATTACTCATTATATTAAAGATAAAGATTTAAACAAGTGATCGTGAAAGTTGACTTTCAAAGTTTCTTTGTGCTGCTGATAGGAGAGAAGCTTTATGTGGCTGAAAATCCAGACATTTAGCCTGTCAATTGTGCTTGACAAATACAATTTTTTAAACCAACTTCACTGTATGTAACAACAGAAGATCAAGTAGAGGCAAGGAGGGTGAATCCACAGGTCCATTATCAATTTTTATCACATGTGCTGTGGAGCCCATTACAAACTTATATAGCTGTACAGTAACCTGTACATTAATGGGTCCAATTACTTCAGTCATGGTTTGAGGCCAAGCAGTGATGCTTTGTCACAAAATTCTCCATGTAGGATTCACAAGTTACAGCCAATTGATGGCTGGAACACACAAATCAAGTTCCACATACACAACTGTGGTATAACACAAATGAAGTTCCACCTTAACAGCCTAATTCTTTTCTCTAGCTTTCTTTTACTCATAGACTGTGTGTGGTTTTTTTTTTTTTTTTTCCCCCACACATGATCTGTCTATCCTTTGTTCTTACTATGTTCATGACTATTTAATTGTGCCTTTGTATGCCACTATTGATATTTATATGTTCCAGGTAAATTAACTAGCCATGTTGCCAAATTGTAATGCCTGACTTCTTTGCCACCATTAAATAAATAAATAAATAAATAAAAGTACTGAATATGTAGACTTGATTTTCCTGAGTTCTTGTTTTAAATAAATAAATAAATAAAAGTACTGAATATGTAGACTTGATTTTCCTGAGTTCTTGTTTTAAAACTAACCTGATGAAACAGCAATTTACAAGTGCAAACATTAAATCTCTGACACAAGAATATCAAGTGTTGTCACCTCACTGTTGTTTTGTTATTCCCTCATCCCTCTGAACTCTATAAAATGCAGGCTGCTTGACCAAGATAATTGCTGCTGAACAATGCTGTATTATTAACATGCACATCAGCACCACAGCCCAGACCTGCTGGGGCCTTGCTGCAGTGCATATGAGAGGTACAAAGAGCAGCAGAGAAAAATCCTTGAAGACAAATTCGGATAGTTTTCAGCTTTTATTTTTTTTTTGATTGAACATATCAGAACTTTCCAGTTTACAGGGCAAATATGAGACTTTTAAGAATATAAGCTGGGGGTCAAAGTAGACTTTCACACTAAGACTGTAGAAGGGATTTTCTATACTGCAGATTTTCTCATCCATGGATATTAGAGAACATTTTTTTCCTCTGCCAGTGGTGAAGAAATCCACCCCACTTAATCGTATTATCCTGTGACTCAGCAATAGTTGTGTCATTATATTGCAGTGTTCTGGTTGGCAATGACTGCTTAATCCCCAGCATAAAAATTTTTGTGAGACTGGTAAGGTCAGCTGTTTGTAAATGAATGGCTTTTTCTTACAAGTTTGAAACTGTGACTTGATGATACAAGAGAAAGAGAGGGAACAAAAAAAGTTACTTTAATATCATTGTGAAATGCTTTCTCAAGTTCTGTGTGCCACTCAAGAGCTTTCTGCCACAATTGTTAATGAGAGCTATAGTCTGAATATAAAATCATAGCCTTAGTTTCTGACACTTAGTCTGGATAGCAGTAGTCTGAAGCATTAAACAGTCGGATTCATAACAATGTTAAGTTTAAAAACAAACAAAAACCCACAACCAGCCTACCAAAAAAAAATAAAATCCACACACCAAAAAAACAGATTTAACAGAGCTGTAGTCAAGGCTGCAATCAAGAACACCGATAAACAATTTTGCAATAATCAGATCATGATAAAGCCTGTGCTGGTGCTGTCACACGGATCACACTTAAATGAGAGAATTGCTAAAAATATCCATCCTATAGTGAAAAATGGTGAAGAAGCTCTGTCTCAATGTCCTTTTCTTCCGTTATGATCTTTGGCTGTAGATTGTATGCTTCCACCTGGAATTGGTACCTTTTAAACAACAATAAAAAAATAATCAAGTATATGTGCTGGAGCTTTTTAATTAAACTGATAAAATAAAAAATGGGATTTGGACCTGTACAAGTCCATTTAAATGGATGAAATTTTGGAAAAAAAAAAAAAAAAAAACAACAACAACCACTGAGTTTAGATGTTTTGGTCCTGAACTGTAGTTCTCATTCCATATGGACTGCCTGTCATTTTTTAATATTGCACAGTGGAGCAGTGTAAGTTGCTCTAGGTGTTTTATCTGGAGGATTACATCTTATGGGTGCTTTTGCTTTGTTAGTATGCTTTCTCTTTTTAAGGTTTTCCTCTAATCAAATTTGTCAAGTTTTGAGATTAAGCTTGACAAAGAATAGCATAGTACTAGAGATACTTCAAAAATCAAAGCAAGTGTAAGCTGAGACAAAAAAAAAAAAAAGACCTTACTGTTTCTCACCCTTGGAAAATCTACAGAAAATGTTTTGTAGACACATCTGCATTAACTGAGTGCCTAAAGAAAGGCAAAGCTTTATAAGATATTTGTGAAGTTCAAGGCTGTTGTCAATGCTTTGAAGATTAAAACTTCTTAGTAAATTCTGTTTAACAGGAAATGCATAAAGTCAGCAGCACTACATCACGGTCTGGGTAAGCAAAACAATTTGTAGAACTCAGCAATGCTTTTTAAACAAATTCACTTACTATTAACCAAACAAGTGCAAAAAGGTACTTTGAGTGGGTTTACATTTATGTTAAAAGCTTGCAAGACACGCAAAGGCCTAACATCTAAAAGCAATTACTCTTAGAGCAATTTTACTTAATCTAGTTCACTCTTCTTAATCGCAACCAGGAAGAATTATTGATTGTAGCAAATTACAGCTTGACAGCTCAGTTTTTTTTTTTTCACTTGTACTGATTCTGTGGTAAGCATTAGTTTCTGTTTTTACTCCATGTATTTCAACCACTTCAGAGAAGAACACAACTTCATAGTTTGTCTATATCATCTTCTTAATACTTTATATAATGACTGTGCATATTTTTCTCCTTGCTTTATGTGAAGGGTATTTCAAAATGTTTTTCTTTTGATTCCTTAGGAGATTTAGTCTTTTCATCACCAGTGTATATTCATTAATTTTTGTCTCACAGGACCTTCTGTCTTTTCCACGTGCTCTTCATTTCCATTATCACAACTCCTTTTGAGAGCTGTACTGAACTGCCAACAGTACTGAACAGCTTTCTGCAACACATTTGAATTCTACTTTTCTGTTTCTAAATGGTAGAAGAAACTCCAGATCATAGTTAATGAGTGAATATGCTTGTTTATTATACTATTTAGTGTAATTTTATTGTTATTAGTTCATCATTTGACACTGTTTTTGTCTAAAAATTTCCAGTTTCTTCATGGTACTCATAGTGCCCCTAACTCTGTGTATGTATTAGTTTTATAGGTTTTGGCTAATCTCCCCATAAGGTTCCCCAAAAAGGAAACTAGGAAACTGTAGGTTACAGTCTTGTACCTGGTTTGTTAATTCTCGTTAACTCTGAAGCTGAGCCGGGCAGCACTTTTAGGAAGTCTCATTATAAGTCTCGCTTCAGAGAGACTCTTATTTCTCAGAAGCTGCTGGTGGATGCGCATGAACAGATGATGAATAATGAATATTTAGAATCTGTTGTAGACAATAGACAAAGCAAGATTTGGGTAAAGCTACTGCATGGAATTTAACCTCTGATGTTAATTTAGCCATACAGAAGTAGTATTGCCTCATACTGCGTTGGGAATCTGGTTTGTGTTCCTGAACAACAACAACAAAAAATAAAAAATGAATAAATTGAGTTTACTGTTGAAGAGGTAAAGAGTTCCTGAAGGAAAGCAGATGTCAAAGGAAAAAGGCAGTATATCTTAAACTCCATATTCTGGCCAAAAGCTGATAAACTGCTACTGTCATTAACTATTCTGCAAGGCTTGTTCTGGGTCAGTCTTAAAATCTTTCTGTTAATGGTGTCCATATAATTTAACGAAATTTCTTGAATTGTTCATCACCAGGTTTCTATCTAAGATGTGTCAAAGTGAAGCACGGTGCATTTTCTGGTCATGAATCACTTTGCATGTGGCTTAACTCCATCTGACTTGCTAAATACAGTATTCAGATTGATGGATGAACTGGAAATGGTGACTCCACAAATGATAGATTCATGTACTGGAATGTTCTGGCAATATTTCCTATTACTTCTGCTTTTCTGTATCTATTTTGTTCATGTGCTAGTATTTTACATGGTTAGAACACTAACAAAAATGATGTAATTTCTAATTCTTATTTTACAAATTTGTAATAGTCATCTGCTGGAGTTTTGCAAAGAGTAGGCTCTCCTTCACATGAGCACTGTCTGTGTTATTAACTTTGAAACATGGAGGTTCTGCTTGACCTAGACTAGCTTCTGGGTTTGGAGAAATGTTCAGGGAGATATTTGGGATTTGAGTATTTGAGATTAAACATTTCTTGTATCAAGATTCAAAACCAGTAGTGTGTTAGCAGTTTTATTTGATTACAGACACCTAAATGCTTCTGTAATTCATAAAACCATTAAAATTACCAATTTCTGTATTATATACCACGTAGCCACATAGGATTAATGACAGATGATGGTTTGTTCTTGATGAATAAAAGTAATGCAATTTAAATATTTCTGGTATTGCTGAAAGTGTTTGATGTTCTTTATCAATAAACATTGATATTGAAACTACATATCATTCTGTAATTGTTCAGCTGCTGGATGTTTCATCATAGAACATTCTGTTGTGCAATACATCATAGCATCTCATTTCCTCCAAACTCAACTCTGTCAAGTTATCTTTGATCCAGAAAATGTGATGGTAGAATTTGTCAGATGTGTTCTGGATAAAGAATGAATCACTTGTATTTTTTTTCAAACCATCTGTAGAGATACTTGACATTAGTATGATGTGATATTTTTCTTTTCCGTTTTAGTTGTGTAAAAAATGAAATTAAGAATTAACATACTCAGAATATATTTATTGGCAACAGATGTCAAGAAAACAAGGCCTGTAAAAGAAGCTTAAATGAGGAAGGCTTCTATCTTCCTATTGAGTAAATAAAAATATTGACTCAAGTTTCATCTGCCTTGCAACAGCATATGAAGGCTTTAACAGAGATGCACCACTGGCTGAAAACATGCTACACCATTCTTTTTGAGATCAGATGAGGGAAACTCCCTAGACTTGTCATGACTTGTATGTTGAAGACAGTCATTTGTAACAGAAAGCATACACAAAATATTAACTACTTATTCTCAGGAGTGGGTAGAGATTGGAGAGGAAAAAAAAAAACAAAAACCAAAAAACAACAACAACAACAACAACAACAAAAAACACCCACAAAAAAAGCAAAAGGGTATTTTGCACTGCTCTGACCTTAAATACTCTTGAGATGTGTTCTGAAACAGCTTTTCTTTTGCCAAGAGTAGACCACAACTTCAGTGTGACTGTAGAGGCTGATCCTTCTGGTCCTTTTCCCGTGGCAGCAAAAGTGTTGACCTGTGGTTCCCTCCTAGTTCATCATCTTCCATCACCCTTTTGTTTGCATTCATTTGACCTGATGTGGCCAATAATTGTATGCTAAACACAATGTCTGTATTGCAATTGCAAGCATGTTACTCTTACTTCAACATTTCCACAGGTGCTGCTGCTGCACTTTATGTTCTAGACAAAAAAATATATCTAAAAGCTAGCTTGATTGATAGAGTTAGGGCTGTAAGGGTACGTGTAGTATATAACTAAGTCCCCTAGCATCATTTGCAAACAGCAGACCACCAGACTAATACCTGGAAGACTTTTAGGGCTATGAATTGCCCTGAAAAAAGAGGTGCAAGCCTTCAGAAACAGATTATTTTTGGTCGTTTTTATAATTTCAACTAGCATAACTGGCTGTTATGAGTTTATTATGAAATGTGAAATTTCACAAATACCAAAATCAGTCTCTATCATCTTCTCTTGTGTTGAAAAGTTTTTTGTTTGTTTGTTTGTTTTCTTTTTTAAATCTAGCTCATCTTCGTTCACTACTGAATTTAAGAAGAGATTGGACTGTGCGCTTAGTCACATGGTCTGAACTTTTGGGTAGACCTGTGCGGTGTCAAGAGTTGGACTTGATGATCCTTAAGGGTCCCTTCCAACTCAGGATATTCTATGATTCTATGATTCTATTAAGGTTGAAATAGTTACATTTCAATAATAATGCATTTAAAATACATAAATAAACAGCCAAACTGCTGTCTAACTCTAAGAATTGACTGTGTGGCTTATGGAAATTGGCCATTTTATGGAAAAAATGTTTGAAGGAAAATATTTCCTAATTTTAGGAAAAATTAACTTATCTCCACATTTGAATACCCAATAGTTTGAATACCTAATTATCACTTGATCCAAAACTTCAGATGGAAATGAGTATACACGAACACCTGCAAATTGCAAGTTTTTTTTTTACGAGTTTGTAAACGGATCAGCATTAATAAATAACCATTAATTTGGCATGTCAAAGCTACTACAGTAATTACAAAAGCAATTAATTAAAAAAAAAAAAAAAAGAAACAATTCTGAAGCTTTGAATATTTTAAATTGTCATTGCTTTTTAAAATCAAAATTTCCCAGGCCTTCCCACAGTCCAAGATGTAACTAGTGAATTCTACTGGGAATTTAAATTTCCATAACAGAACTTTTTCTAATGCTATGAAAAAAAAAAGCTGATTATCATACCAGTAAGATTTATAAATATATTTTGTAAGGTGTGAAATTATATTTTGCTCTGCCCTAAAATAAAGTAAAATGATAACTGGTCCTTGTGTGCAAAGCTAACTACTTTGTTAAAAGGAATGGAAAATCTTTAATTATGGAAATTGCTTTGGCAAGGTAGGAAAATATAACTGATCCAAGTCTGAGAAAATAGAAAAGACTGTTTCAAGTACTTTTTATGAATAATTTTTAAATGTTATGTAGAATGTGAGCTTCAGGAGTCTTAAGCCCTCTTAGATGATTTACCTTAACATAAATAAATATATTTAGTGCTTGTAGGGAACGACTCCTGGAAGTGAAAAATTTAATTTGAAAAATGTATTAGATACAGTTTTCTATATCTAAAATTGTAGTTTAGATTGCATTGTCCATGATTTTTTTTTCCTTTAGCTCTAACAAGTGAAGAATCTGATAGAAGGCAAGAGAATGTTGTTCACAATGGATATGTCCTAGAAAAATTAATGGATGATTTGTGAGGTTACCGTGCAAATAGTGGTACTTCTGAATGATAAAGGAATACAAAGAATTATAAATAATTACATAAAATTACAAAACCCATGGAATACGGGTACCTGGAACATCTGTTCCTTCCTGGATGGTTTAAACTTATTGGCCAGATGTTTTTGTCAACCCCTCTGAAATCTCCTCCTCAAATCAGCCTGTCTATGGAAAATCCTTAGTACTGTTGGCTAAATGTAGACAAAAGCTTCTTTACACTGCTCAATATGTGGTTATAAGTGGTTAGAGGTTCTAGAATTGTACAGATAGGTACTGATGTAGTACCACAAAATTCTTAGAATTTCATGTGGCCCTCAAGAAGACAGCTTCTGTGGGACCAGAATCTAAATGGAGTTTAGACTTACAAAAAAGTAGAAAACAGTATGTTGCACTTGGAAAAATAGATCTAATGTCAGGATCAGTGTCTGGTAGTTGGGTGTTGCTGTGCTCTAAAATGTTAAGGGTGCAGGTAGCAATTGCTGGAGTCTGCTTTAGTTTGCATAAGCATGGCCATACCAATAGTGGGTTAAATGTACGAGTCTGTTGTGCACAGACTATTGTATGGAAAGATCTTTCCCAAGTTCTTTCCTGCATATCTTCCTGTCTGTTAAGAAACTTAAGTTTGTTTCCCTTATGTCTGCGTACTACTAATTTACGTGCAGCTGGAAATTGCTTGTACGCAGGAATTCTTGGAACAACCTGATCTATAGCTGAATCTCTTAGGCACTGTTGCAATATAAAGAAAGCTTTTTTGTTGTATAGATTATTGAAGATGATGTCAGAGCATTAAATGTGATCATGATTATGTGAGTGTATGAAAAGTATTAGGAAGATCTGAATAGCTTTTCTTGTAATTTATTTACTGATCAGTGGACTCTCTACAATTTGGTGTATCCATACTTTTAAAGGGAAAATCATGGCAGTAAAATTCGATAATTAGGAAGTTCTGCTAGCAAAGAAAAATTGATAGTTACAATGGAAATTGTCTGAATTTTGGTATTTGATATTAACTTCAGTGTTTAGTCTAGGAAAATAAATTAGTTCTCATGATTTTGTAAAGAACTTGTTCAGATAGTGAACAGGGAACTATGTTTTATGTATTGAAGAAAATGTTGCTTCAGATAGGGTAGAAATGATCCAAGAAGAAACACTGCTCTTTAGATCCTGTTGACCAAAGAAGCTAAAGAAACAGAGCATGAGAGAAATGTCTCTCACTTGTAAGTACAGACCAATCTTGATGGAAAGCAAAAAAAAAAAATTGACTGGGTCATATACCAAGTGTTTAAGAAAATGTGTTTTTATATAAAAAAAGTTCTGTTTTAAGGAGCTAGTCTTTAAGGTCTCTGGATCTCCTTGGGGAAGGCATATCCTTATGTAACTTAAGTGCTTTCAGCAATTTTAATATTAAGGCTACTTAGAGCAGATTAGTCTGAAAAACAGTGTTTCTGTGCTTAATGATAACCTAAGGTAAGGATAGAATAAGTGCAATTATTCAAAGCCTGAAACAATTTAGAAAGAATCTTAAACATGCACATAATAGCTGCTAGAAAATTCATATAATGAATAAACTGGTGGAAATTCTAGTCAGAACCCACTGGAGTTAAATGACAAGTGTTTTCACTCTCTCTAATTCATCGTTATGACTGTCTGGGCATGGAACTTTCATATGAGAAAGCAATTCTCATTCTGCAGTGAACAAATTCTTTTTACTCCTCAGATGGTTCGGTTCTTGACTACAGGCAAAATATATTGGTGATGACTTGCATTGCTGTTGTACAAGGGAAACTACAGGTTATTTCAGAATGTTGTACAGGCCCTTGGCTTTGCTTGCTTCCTTATGATTTGGTAACCTACATCTTGGAAATAACCAGAAGTAGCTTTTTAGTGGATGGTAAATCATTTGAAGAGTGAGTTTGCAGTACTCATTCCTGAGAAACAGATTTGGGGAAGAGGTTCATAGTCGTACACACAAACAAAGCAGCTTACTCACAGAAACGGAAAACTAACATGAGAAAAGGAGAAGACTGAAACAAGGTTTTGGGGTTTGATGGAGAATGCTCAGTTAAAGCATCCTGTTTTGGGCTGGGAGGCTGGGTACAGTGTAGAAGAGACTTGTATTCAGTTCTGAATAATGAACACCTTCTTTCCCCGTGAGGGCAGACTAGTACTGGAGCAGGTTGCCTGGAGAGGTTTAGTACCCTTTCATGTGGTCAGGACCAGACTGGATAAAGACATGAGCAACCTATTCTGACCTCAGAGTTGCTTCTGCCTTGGGTAGGAGTTTGGGATAGGGACTCCCTGAGGTCTTGTCCAACCTATGAAACTCAGGCTAGAAAAGGAGGCATTTTGAATGTGACACTTGCGAGGGAAGAATTTGTAAATTGTCTTGGTGAATTCTTAATTGCCAGATATTTCCGAAGGAGGACTTGATTTTCATCAACTAG